TATCAAAAATTATTTATTGCAAAGATTTTTTCTGTCAGTTGTTTCAATTTCAAATATAGCTCAATTTTATTTATATAATAAATAAATAGGAAAAATGTTTTAAAACTCAACAAAAATGTTGTTTCATAAACTAAAATGTCGAGAAAGATTAAAAAATTTATTCTTTTAAATTTAACTTAAGATTAATGTATATTTTATTTCTAATGTTTAATCATTATAATTTAATTGAGCTTATCTTCGTCACATCAAAGGATTTTATTGATAAAGAGGATTTAAATTGTTATCAATTTAGGGTGATATATTGATATAAAATAATAAATAGGCGGATCTGATTTTAAAAATCTACTTTAATATATTCATAAATGCTAACTTTGACAATCTAAACAGGATATACTTCTAAATTATCTAAATGAAATCTTAATAATTTGATTGCATCTTTTTTAATAAAGTTATGACTTCTCCCTAAGAAGTTAGAATATAGACAATTCTCTATATTTTTCGAGTGATTAGAATATTTTCAAATCAGAATCAAGAGTATCTGTTTAAAATATGAAGATTATGCAGATTTTAATATTTTTAAAATTTGATGTACTTTCTTTGTATTTAATATTAAATGTAATTAAAAAATGTAATAATATTAATAATTAGGATGGTAACTAAACAAGTATCGTGAAATAATTCTTTGTATTGTTTTTCAAAAAAAATTAAGATGTAAGTATTTCTTCAAGGATCTTTGTCTTGAAAGCGAAATAGGCTATTAATATTGATGAATAAATTTCTTGAAATTAATATAGAAATTATAGGGAATTGGATATTAAGCAATGAGTGAAGATGAGATAAATTTGCTAAATTTTCAATAAATATTAAATGTTGATGGTCCTATTTGTGAGTGGAATATGCTTAAAATGTATTTCTTATAAATGTATTATTATTATAGTGAATTTTTAGAAATTGTAAATGATATTCTATTTAAAATTGGTTTTGATAACAAATGTCCAATATTTTCTTACTGCTCTATAGGAATCTGACATTATTTAATATGCTTAAATTATATGATGAATATATATTATTGCATTCAATATTTAATTAATATGAATATTACTGTGTATTATCTAAAAAATAAATATACCTGGATTATTAATTTGAGGCTTATCAAAAAATTGTTAGAATCATTTAGAACAAATTACTAAAAGGATTAAATAAATAAGTATGATTATTTAATTGAAAAACTATAAATTATTTTTGATTCCAATTGTTTATATGCAAACTTTAATATGTGTAGTTTTTATTTGGAAGGAAATTACATAATTAATAAGTTAGTGCCAATGAGAGAAGTTTATAATAATAGCATTGAGATTGAATATTAAAGGTGTTTGAAATTTCAATTTAGATGTGATTAATAATGTCAAGCTGTGTATTAGGCATTTGTTAAAATTTAAAAAATAGGATTTTTTATGAATTTGTAAACTATTGAACCTTACTGTGGCTTAATAATTCAACTAAAAAGGATAGTGACGATAAAATTAATTTCAAGCTGATGGAGGTAACTAATACAAATTTGAATGTAGTAAAATTACTTAATATGTAATTAAAGATGCTTAATATATTAATTAGTATGTTATAAATTAATAAAAATGTAAAAAAAATCAATATGTATTGATGGTATTGTAATATCTGAGAATGAATAATTCGAGGATAAGAATAACAATATGGATTTTGGTTATTTCAATTACAAATATTAATTAATACAAAGTTTTTATTATGCATTATAGGAATTAGTTTATTAAGTTGTCCAATTGATGGGATCACTGTTGATGGTGTATATCTTTTGTTGTTAGATAATCATAGAATTGAAAATGCGATAAGTTGAATTTAGAGGAAATTTTAAATCTATTTTAGAATATTAATAGAGTAATTGAATTTGAAAGTGTATTCCTTAATTAAAATTTAGTATTTTGGATTTAAAAATGAATAATTAATAAATATTTTGATATAATTAGGCAATTAGATTTCAAGAAATAGATAGAGATATATCTAAGATTAAGAATTTTCATATAAAATAACAAAGGTTGAATACAGTTAATTTAAAATCTTTCTAAAGAGATATTTTGTTTTCCAATATTTAACTTTAATTGGATTGTTGATCCAACTCAATAAAACCATTTGTAATTTTTGAGTCTTTATTAGAAAATCTTACAGTATAATCTTAAATTGTAGATATTAGTTTTGATTTTAACCATAATTCAAATAATTAAAGTCAGTATTTACTGTTTAAAAATTAACCTGAAAAATGCCTATAATATTAGAATAAACTCAATAACAAAAATCAGTTTAATGTAGATTATATGCTAAACTTATGAAATAATCTCAATCTCAGCATTTAAGTTTATAAAAGGAATTTGGAATGAAATTAAACTGTTAAGTTGCTTCTTTTATTTAATTATTTGAACTTACTATTAAAATCTATTTATGTTTCTATAGTATTATAGTGAAAACGTTACAAATACAACAGAGCCTACTTTGAGTTTAGACATTATAATAACATATTTAATTATATTATAGATTCATTTTAATCTTGCAGATTTAATAAATTAATAAACAAATCTAATGATTCGATCATATATTAGTGACTTTAGAAATTTTTAGAAAATTCTTATTAGTATTTACATTATAATNAGGTAACTAATACAAATTTGAATGTAGTAAAATTACTTAATATGTAATTAAAGATGCTTAATATATTAATTAGTATGTTATAAATTAATAAAAATGTAAAAAAAATCAATATGTATTGATGGTATTGTAATATCTGAGAATGAATAATTCGAGGATAAGAATAACAATATGGATTTTGGTTATTTCAATTACAAATATTAATTAATACAAAGTTTTTATTATGCATTATAGGAATTAGTTTATTAAGTTGTCCAATTGATGGGATCACTGTTGATGGTGTATATCTTTTGTTGTTAGATAATCATAGAATTGAAAATGCGATAAGTTGAATTTAGAGGAAATTTTAAATCTATTTTAGAATATTAATAGAGTAATTGAATTTGAAAGTGTATTCCTTAATTAAAATTTAGTATTTTGGATTTAAAAATGAATAATTAATAAATATTTTGATATAATTAGGCAATTAGATTTCAAGAAATAGATAGAGATATATCTAAGATTAAGAATTTTCATATAAAATAACAAAGGTTGAATACAGTTAATTTAAAATCTTTCTAAAGAGATATTTTGTTTTCCAATATTTAACTTTAATTGGATTGTTGATCCAACTCAATAAAACCATTTGTAATTTTTGAGTCTTTATTAGAAAATCTTACAGTATAATCTTAAATTGTAGATATTAGTTTTGATTTTAACCATAATTCAAATAATTAAAGTCAGTATTTACTGTTTAAAAATTAACCTGAAAAATGCCTATAATATTAGAATAAACTCAATAACAAAAATCAGTTTAATGTAGATTATATGCTAAACTTATGAAATAATCTCAATCTCAGCATTTAAGTTTATAAAAGGAATTTGGAATGAAATTAAACTGTTAAGTTGCTTCTTTTATTTAATTATTTGAACTTACTATTAAAATCTATTTATGTTTCTATAGTATTATAGTGAAAACGTTACAAATACAACAGAGCCTACTTTGAGTTTAGACATTATAATAACATATTTAATTATATTATAGATTCATTTTAATCTTGCAGATTTAATAAATTAATAAACAAATCTAATGATTCGATCATATATTAGTGACTTTAGAAATTTTTAGAAAATTCTTATTAGTATTTACATTATAATAGTATAAGAGAGAATCAAGTTTATAAACCTTATTCTTATATATTCGATGTATTCATTCAGTGTTTTTATTTAATGTTAAAATAAGTTGATGAATTAGGTAAAATTCTTTATATTTTAATTGAAGGGACAGTATCCAGTTATATTGCTTGATTTAATCACAATTCAATTTAATTTTAAATTAAGTTTATTTTGACTTAAACAATTTACTGTTAAAATAATCCATCTTTAAAATTTAATTATTTTTTGTAATTTATGCAGACTAAATCCAAATGAACTAAATTTAAATATCTCATGTGTCATAATATATATATTATTATTAATTTTTTATAAACAGCCATAGATCATAGATTTCATTTTAATACAATTATCTAAATTATTATTTTTTATCAAATATAGTTTAGTATTAATAAATGATTTTATTCAGAAATCTTTTTGAATATTATATTATATTTTTAATCCCTATGAATTCTTGTCATAATTACTATCTTTGATAAAAAGATATCTATTAAAAGAAATCACATATACTAGTTTTGAAGAGTAATTTTGAAACATAAAGGACCCTTTTAAAGAGATGAGAAATCAGAATTATAATCGTGATATTATTTTGTCAAGAATATTAGACATTTTGACTGATAATTTCAATATTGAATATGATATATAATATATAAATCTAAATTCCCAATTATTATTTTTGCTATTATGTTTTTTAAACTGCTTATTTAATATTAATTATGATCCATATGAATTTTAATTAGGTAAATCAATAAAATAACACAAAAAAGAATTGTGATTATGTTAATTCATTCAGATTAGAATGATTTTTATTTTGCTTACTCTAAAAAAATCCAATTATATTGATAAATAATGAAGCATTCAATAATAGTGATGATAATACCACCAATATGAATAGCCATATATAGTACTGAAAAAGAAAGATATATTTTCATATTGAACCTTCTAGAAAATAATATAGAAAAACAAATTTAATCAAGAATTATATATTATGCAGATGATTAACATAATATCAATAAGATATGATAGGGATTTGTAATATGTTTTTGTAATAATTCTTTAGATATCTAATCAAATTTTATATAATTGTAATTGGGTCTTATTTAATTATATGTTGTTAATTAATTCTCTTATTATAAAATATAATATAATAGTCAGGTTGACTTTAATATATTTATTATAAAGACTGTAACTACAATGATTATAAGAAATTCAAAATATAATTATCTGTTGAGATTACAATAATCATAAGAAATATATAGATTTGTAATTATGATATTCACTCTATGAATATGAAGAAGGATATATAATTCCCTTAATCTATAATTAATCGGTATTAGCTGCTTTATTAAAATATGAAATACATACTAAATCAAAATTTACTAATTAATATAAATAAAACTTGATTTTTTGCGGTTCTCCCTTATAGAATTATCAGTAGAATCCTTAATTTCATTGAGGAAATGAGTAGAAAAAAGTAAAAATCTTTTTTTTGTTCGATAAAAGAGATTAAAAATAAAATAGAAATAGCGATAATTCTACCAGACATTTGATGAGCATATATTATTGTTTTGAAAGACACATATATAAGATCTAAATTCTTGATTTACATACTAAAATTGGTTATGAAAATACTCTATTGCTACAATTTATGTTATTTTTAAATATTATTTCTTCTTTTTTTCTATCCTATAAATATTACTAAAATTATTTATTAATAACAAATGTGTACCTTGATGCAAAGAGTAGATTAACCTTTTTATGATGGAAAAAGGCTCTTATAAGAATTTTATTCTAGAGTGCAGATTCTCATTAATATATTATAAATATTATACATTAATTATATTTAACAAATAGATTAATATTAAACTATTTTTGTAATCAAAGTATAGCTAATTGTTGTGGATATACATTTACTAGTACTGATGATGCTGAAAATTAGAATTATTATAATTAAACTTCTACAAAATCAGGTGATTTATATAGATATAATACAGCTTCTACAGGGTCATGTTCAGCAAGAGTAATCTATGGGTGAATTTCTTAAAAAATATCTTATGTGAAAATTAAAATGGAACAACTTTATGTAAATTAAATGGAGTGTGCTATTTTTTTTACACTACTTTAAGTTAATGTCCATCATAAACAATTCGAACTGGAGTTAAAGAGAAACTTATATTGTGAAATGGAATGTTCAGAATTGCAATTACTCCAACTAAATGTTCATTTAATGCAGGTGTAAGCACAACAAAATGTTCTAATATAGACACTTGTGAAGAGTTCATTTCACCTGCCAACACCATAGAATGTAATAAAATATTAAATGATAGAAAATGTTAATTTTCAATTAAAAATGTATTCCTAAAAAAACAAAATATGTTGATTCTTCGAAGAATACCAGAATGAATGCATGTTAAGCTGTTTTTTGATCAACCTTGAAATCTGATTATATAAAAACTGTTAAATATAATGCATATAATTCTAAAAAACAACACCACACTATTTCATCAGCGTATTTTATAAGCAGATTGCTATGTAGGAAAATGAAGTTGTATAATTGATGTATAATAAAGAACTATAAATTTTATAAAGGAGCTTGTTGTACAATAGTTGCATGTGCCAGTTATACATAATAACATACACTGATGAAAAATAATACTTATTTCTGCTGGGGCAGTTGATTAATATTGTACTTGTGACCATTTTTCAAGTAGCTGTTTGTTATAATCCAGTTGAGAGTGTCGATTGATGCACAACAATAACAGCTGGCCTCACAAATTATACTGATTTTGATTAAAGAACAATATAAGGGTCCAAGAAAAATACTAGTAATCCTAAGCGTAAGTAAAGAGCATGTAATGATGTTGCAACACCTATTTTTTTAAATTATGAAAAAGAATGTAAGGTATATTTTTACATATACATCAAAATGTTAAAATTATATAGCTGAAACAAAAACATGCGCATAATAAATCAGATATCTTAATTATTGTGATTGGGCATTAAATGTTATTAATAAGTCAACCTCCAAAAATGAACTCTTGCTTCTACCTCTACCTTGTGATTTGAATGTAACTGCTACTACTGTTCAAAATGCATCCTGATTTTTCTATAAAGGTAAAGGCTGAATTCATAAAACTGAGGCATGCTCTTTTTATTATGGTACGAATGAAAAATGCGAGTAATATTCAGGAGATTATAAGGAATGCTTTGGAGATTCTACTACATGTAAAATAGCTTGCAGAAATTAACAATGTAAAGATTTGCCTACGAAGACTATGAAAATTTCTTATCAGGATGTTTATACAAAGGAGTGGGATATGTACCTAAAAGTGCTGCTTCCATAGCATATAAGGAAACATAAATAATTTTTTCTGGATTTAAGGGAAGCAATGAAATCAAATTGTTCAGAGCCAGTGAAACAGATGTTGGAAATTTTTGAAGATAGGATATGCTCGTATGATACAGGTACTACAGAAGCTAAATGTTAAAAATTCTGACCATCTCCAGCTTCGGCTGAATTATGTATTACTTATTGAACAAAATGTACGGATTTTGGAAACTAATTTTCATTCTGTAAACGAATTGATGAAACATGTTAAAGCTCCTAACACATTTCCAACAGATCAATAATTTTCAGATTATCATCCAACTTTTAAAACATCTAGTATAACTTGTAAGAAAATCTTGGATGAGGAGATTAAGCTTCTCAAACATCATGTACATCATGTTAATGGGCAGAACTTAATGCACACAGTTTCATTAAATACATATGGTGAAACTATTTTTGCGAATGCCCCATTAAAAATAGATAGAAAAGGATCTGGTTTAATAGTCATTTTTTGCAGAGATTCTTCTCATTTGAAGATTATGATAAATCTATTATAACTCATAAAATTGTGAAGATAAAATCGAACTCTTACTACCAATAGATCTGCTAAAGGAATATGCTCATCATAAATATTCCAATCTAATTGTTAAGCTGGTAATACAACTGAAAAATCAGTAATATGCTTTTGAATTTGCTTGCAGTTATAAATAATGTAGAGATATAACATTAACTACAAATGAAGCATGCAACACTTGGTTTGCTGGATGTATTTAGTGGAAACTCTGAACTCTGCTTATAGAATAGCTTTGGAAATACATGTTTATATATTACAATTGTACAGATATTCTTAAAGTTTGCTAAGCCTATTCTGAATACTGTGTTCTAACAAATTCAGTCTACAAAGTGATTACACTATGCGATAACTACGATAATGTTTTTTCATGCACATTAGGTATTAATGATACTTAATGTGGATGGTTCCAGAAGGTAAATTCAAAGATTACACAGTATATAGTAATATAAATGATGCTAACTTATCAGCATGTACTAGTTGGGGTTCTACTTGTGTTTCAGATGGAACTAAATGTATTGATAAAGAAACTTGTTTTTCATATCTAATCCCTTCAGGTTGTGAAAATGAAGTACTGATAAATGTTGTTAATGGACTGGAAAATATTGTATTCTGAGATAATTTCAAAATAAAGCTGCTTCTTCTGATACTGAATGTTTAGCTTAAGTTGCTAAGAGTGGATTCTGTAAACTGATGAAGGTAGATGTGTTCCTAGATCTACATGTGTTTTTTATCGAAGTGAAGCAGCTTTTAAAAAGGGTTAAGTTGAGGTCCCAAGTGAATTTGATGTAACAGTTGAAGCAACAACAAGAACTAAATCATACTAATCTAAAGAATACATAAAAATCAAAGCATCTCCAAAAAACGCTTATGTTATTAATGAACTCAATTTTGTAAAATTAAGTTAGATGTGCCTGTTCTAAGAATAAATTATCATGCAAATCAAGATGATCTGATTGTAAATGTGCATTTACTCCAAGATCAACTGTTCCTGATCCAAATAATCTACATGCTATAATGTCAAATCCTGTGAACTGATAATAATGATGAATATGCTTGCAACAGTACACTAAGGCCATATAAATGGTCATCTAATATAAGTGGAACTACTACTACAACTAAATTTCAACCAATGGATTGACCTGGAGTTGGCTCAGGTACTACTTGTAATCCATTCAAAAATTTTTAACGTGCATCAAGCAATATTTGCGTATTATGTATGTGCAGTTGGTGATCCATCCACTCTTACAACAGAGTAATACTATAAGCCAACAACACTGTACTCATAGACTTGGAATGAATCAAAAAATAATTGTGTTACATGCAAAGCTTCTACTAGCACTATCAATAACGCTATTAATCAAAATACCAATACAGATAATAATAGATACATTTGGTATTGCAATTAAAATTTCAATAAAATGTACTAATTATAAATTCTCATTCAATCTTGTTGTTTTTATTTGTTAAGTTGAAATTTATAATGATATATATATATATATATATATATATATCTCTGAATTGAAATTTCATATTACTATTACTGTAAGTTTTAGATAGACTCAATTAAATTACATTAATTAATTGGTTTCTGAAATTATTCTAAATTTTTGTTCTTGAATTTAATCCTAGTATAAGATTGTTTTTTAGATAAAAGGACCTAAATTCATTATACTGTTTATTCAATCAAATTAAGTATCAAATTCAAGTTTAAATTAATATTCAAGAACTGATTGTTCTTAAGCATACTCTGTTCTTAAATAAATACTCTTTTAATTCAATTCGATAACTCTAAATATGATAGTCAGTAGAATCTAATATTAAATAATAGAGGATTAAATGGAAAATGATGATTTTATATATTATTTCCAATCGATTATTTTCATCCAATATACTGATAAAGAGAATTTTAAGTGCATGCCATTATATCATCAGCAGTACATTAAGAAGAAGCTTTATAATATTATTTATGTGTTGAATAATTTATATATTTACCTTAAATTGAATTCTCTAAATCTACAATAAATTTTGAAATACCTTTATTATTGAAGCAATCAAATCATATGTGAAAATTCTAACTAATGTTTACGTAATGATAAAATTACTATATAATAATAATATTAATACTCATCAACACATAACTTACAAATTAACTTTTAGATATAGTTTGGGCATTTTTTAATAAATTTTTTTTAATATGAAGTATGCAAATTCCATTTTAAGCATTAATTTCAATTTTATGGAAGACAAGGTCCAATTGAATTTTCTTTATTCTTATATTTACAAATCCAAAAATACCTTTAATACAAAAATCTCTAAATTATGTTTCTTAGAAAGTTATAACTTTGAAACATAAGAATCACTATATCTTTGACATTCTTAGAGCAAGCAGCATCACATTAGTAATCTTAAGATTATTTAATATTAATTTTGGGTATATATAGTGGGTCACAACTCAGTTTAATATTTTCAGTGCGTCAGACTGTTTACTAAAGGGTGTAAATGCCACCTCCATAGCTGTACATTGGCATTGATCATGCTCACTCTCTCAGGGCCCCTCCTGATTCCAAGCCATGACTTCGAGTTCTGATTTTGGATTCCCTTTACCTACTGACCGCCGTTCTGCCCTGAAATACGCCTTATAACAACAAGACCTGCATGGGGAAGCTATTTGGGCTTCTGGGTTCGTAGCCTTTAAGACCCTTTTCTGCAACGAAGGATGAGCCTCGAGTAGTGGTCTTTTTTCAAAGAATTTTTTAAGATTATTTTTTTCTACAAATATTTGATTTTCATCGCCAAATAAGCTCTTCAAAATTAAAATTGTACATTCCTTATTAGCATTTGCTTAAAAAACTTGTTTTGTTGAGAATACTAACTATAAATTTAGTAGTTTTAACACCCTTCGATAACATAATTATTTTGACAATTAATTGTGGTGTTTTTGCATTACTACCAATAAAAAATCTGCCTCTATTATACTTATGATTATGTTTAGCAATTGTTTAGAAACAAAGTCTTAATAATTATTTTAAAGTTTTTGCTCTATATTTTTCATTAAATATTTATTTCTAAATTTTAATTGATGATTGTGACTTATTTGGCTGTCCAAAACCTTAACTATTAGTTGAATATATTTGGTAATAACTTAAAGATATAATTGATTACACAACTAAAAGAATTTTTATTATAATACTTGACATCGCAATATAATTATATTATTTCATCTTTAGACTTATGTCTATTTAATAAATTATATT